TGGGCCACAGGAGTAACCAGCCGTTTCCTGTCTGGGGTCAGGCTGTGGTGTCCCAGCAGGTACAGGGGTCTCTGCCCCGAGATTGTGCCCATAATTCCTTTTTTTAAAAAAGATTTTATTTATTTGCGAGAGAGTGTGAGAGGGAGAGAGATCACGAGCAGGGGGAGTGGGAGAGGGAGAAGCAGGGTTCCCATGGAGCAGGGAGCCCAATGCGGGGCTCGATCCCAGGACCCTGAGATCATGACCTGAGCCGAAGATAGATGCTTAACGACTGAGCCACCCAGGCGCCCCTGTGCCCATAATTCCTAAAGTGGCCTCTCTGATTACATCTGATCTGTAATCAATCGGGGATTTTAATATCGAATAAGGGAAATTTTATGACAAATAAACAGAAGAAAACGAGTCCCCTTTGAAAATAGGTGGGCAGACACAAAGGCTCCTATTGCATGATTCCACGTACAGAAACATCCAGAACAAGTAAAAGAATAGGGAGAGAAAGCAGCTTAGGGGTTTCCAGGGTCTGGGCTGGGGGCGAAATGGGCAGGGGGGCTTCTGGTTCGGGGACTCCTTTGAGACATGAGATATTCCGCAGCAATCTTCTGGGGTGTGGTGGCACAGCGTTAGGAATGTACTTATGCTCATCACATGTTCAGTTGAAAACAAGTAATTTTATTTAAAACAAATAATAAACAGTATACAGAACATGAAAATGAACAATATGAACCAGAACAATATGAACCAGAGAGAAAGAACATAGGGGGAGGGGATGAAACAATCTGGCGGGGCGTCGGGGTCCGGCGATGGACCTAAGGGTAATTGTACAAGGAGCTCTCCCCGCAGGGCTGTGGGCTCAGGATGTGGCTCTGGGAGCCCTGCGGGAGCAGGAGTAGGGGCAGGGGTTGGGATAGGGGCAGGGCCAGGGGCAGGGCCAGGTGTAAGAGCAGGGCCAGGGGCAGGGGCAAGGGGAGGGATCGGATCAGCAGTCGTGGCAGGTGCAGGATCTAGGGCAGGACCTGGGTAAGGAGCAGGAACAGGAGCTCCGGCAGGCGCAGGGGCAGGGGCAGCGGCAGAAGGAGCAGGAACAGGAGCTCAGGCAGTGGCAGGGGCAGCAGGTCTGGCAGGGGAAGGGGCAGGAGCAAGAGCAGGAAAAGGAGCAGGAACAGGAGCTCAGGCAGGGGCAGGGGAAGGCACAGAAGCAGGAGCAGGGAAAGGAGCAGGAACAGGAGCTCAGGCAGGGGCAGGGGAAGGGGCAGCAGGTCTGGCAGGGGTAGGGTTATGAGCAGGAGCAGGGTCAGGGACAAGAACAGGAGCTCAGGAAGGGTCAGGGGAAGGGGCAGCGGAGTCTGGCAGGGGCAGGGAGAGGAGCAGGAGAAGGAGCAGGAACCGGAGCTCAGGCAGGGGAAGGGGCAGTGGCTCTGGCAGGGGCAGGGGAAGGGGTAGGAGGAGGATCAGGAGCTGGGTTGGAGCAGTGGCAGGTGCAGGATCCAGGGCAGGAGCTGGGTCAGGGGCAGGATCCAGGGCAGGAGCTGGGTCAGGGGCAGGAACAGTAGCAGGAGCTGGGTCTGGGGAAGGTGCAAGTTCTTCCTGGTCCACGTCAGGCTGTCCGTGGGTGGGTGCTGGGTCACCTGCCGGCTCCTGGTCTCCTCCTGCAGTTGCTGCAGGCACCACCCCTCCGTCCAGAGCTGCCGATGGAGTTGGAACCGGCTCTAGCTCCTCAGGTGGTGGAGCAGCTGTGAGAGGAGAAAAGCTCACCCCGAGCCTGCTCTCCGTGGGCCTTTGCGGAGACAGAACCCAGCCCAGGGCCTCCCAGAGAAGCCGCAGCCAGGAAGGAGCCCTCCCTGGGGTGTCTCCCCGACTGCAGTCCACCCGCTGGATGCTCTGCGCCCAGTCTTTGCTCCAGGCCCCACACCAGCCTCTGGGGGCTCGTCCCTGTGGGGCCAGCACCGACCCATCCCCACACACCACAAACACCCAGCCCCAGCCTTCTCACCCTCAGGCTCGGTCTCCGTGGGCTCTGGCTCCTGGACCACTGTCCGGTGACCAACCACCTGGGACAGTGGTCTGGGGGGTGTTGGAGGTCTTGCCCGGCAATCCCCAGCACTTGTTTTGGGGGATGCCTGTGGGGTCAACCCCTCCGTCAGGGAGGAGGGCATGTCCGCCAGCTGCCTCGGGAGGTCATCCGTGGCCTTCTGCAAAGACAGGGACGGGTAGCCGGCTGGAGGCATCACAGCCCTGCCCGGCCATCCTCACTGTCCCACTGCCCAGTCCCCCTGCTGCTCCCAGATCAGACACAGACCTGTGAGTGCACAGCCCTGCACCCGGGATGCACTGACCCATCCCTGCAGGGCTATCGGGATAAACCCTGGGTAGAAGGGGCAGCGCCCCCACACCCCATCCCACCCAGCCAGCCTTGACCTTGAACATGACCTGCCCACTGGGAATCTGACCCCTCATCAGTCTGCTCCTGCTCAAGGTGGCCCCACCCCGCATGAGCCCTCTTTACACACACACAGACACACACAGACACACACGCACGCACACGCACACTCACGCACACTCACACACAGACACACACAGACACACACACACAGAGGGGGGCCTGGGGCTGCACAGGCAGATCAGAGCGTGTGGGGCTGGGTGGCAGGCTCTGGGCCTCCTGGTGTCACCTTTCTGTCCTTCCGGCCAAATGGCCAGAGGCTGTGGGGAGCCCTGATTCGACATCCCCAGCGGGGGACAGTGTTTGCAGGCCGCTCTTTCTTCAGCCTGCAGCGTCCAGATTTGGGGAAGCAGCACCCGAACATGCTTTTTGTTGGAGGGTCTCCAAAGAAATGAGCTGGGCAGGGGGCTGTCTCTGGAATGTGGGTGCCTGGTTACCGGGGTTCCAAATTCTGTTGGGCTCTGTTGTCAGGGAAGTGAGGTCACCAGTGCCTGGGGTCCCCTTACCCAACTTCCTCCTCACACAAGACCCCCGCCCGAGGGCCCCCTCCCCCGGCTGCTCAATGCTCCCCCTCCCCCCATGCCCCATCCATACAGTGACTCCCTCAAATGGTTCTAGTTAAGTTGACATTTCTAACCTGGTAGGAGTGAAGAGCAGATTGCTGCTGCACATCTTCAAGTGTGATATCGGTCATTTCATTTGGCATTAGTGTACAATGTATTTAGTGAATATCCACTCTCTACCAGGTAGTATAGATTGGTCTCTTGAATTCCGTGTTGACACCTTCTGAGCAGGAGCTTGGGAGTTAGGACAGATGCTGAATGGAAGACTCACACTTAATGTTTGTGATTCTTTCCTCTTATGTGTCATATGCATATACACACAAGATATGGTATATCTAGTAGTAAACCTTGGCATTCATTTAAATGATCACTTATCCTTTTCTATGCTGGTTGCCTAGGGGAATCTGATTGGATGCTCAGTCATAGTGTATCTTTCTCATATCTGATTTATATGTTTGGTTTTTTTCTCTTATTTTTCTTTCTATTTGATTAGTCTCATTAGACATGTATTTTTTTAATTATAACTAATAATCCAAGGTTATTTTTGGTTAAGTGTGGAATATTAGTAAATTATTAGTAAAAATTAAGTACTCTACTGAACGCTAATCTTAGAAAACTATGTTATGTAAGAACATTATGGTTATATTTTACTCACCAAGTTATTGAATTTTGCTAATAATTTAATATTTGCAAAGCAGTTTCAGAGACTATCAGTATAAAAAGATCATGTGAATTTCTAAATTTAGTTAAATGTTTTTAATTCTATAAAATACTTCGTTCCATTATTGATGGTCTTTGAGTTTCTTTCGTAAGTTTTTATATTGTGAATTGGAACTTCTCGATAACCCTAGAAATGAAAATTGGAATACTGGGTAAAAAGCACATTAGTCATTTATCACTGATTTCTTAAGCTTGGCATTACAAACATAGAGAACTACTCTGAGTTCTTCATCCGCTTATTTAATTTCATTTTTATAAGCCATTCCTCTTAAATACTTTGTATTCCTAGACTTCCTCAAATGGTACCCCGGTTCAGCATTCAGCAGTTCAACCCCAAAGGTTTTCTGCAGAATACTAGAATAATATGAAATATAAAAACACATCAGCACATTTAGTATTTAGCTGACCTTTGGACTCATGGGTTAGATCTGAGGAAGGTAGAAATCAAAAAAGCTATTTGATCTCCAAAACTTTATCTGTTGATCAGCCCTGAGAAGGACACTGACAGATAGATATCCAGTTTATTGATGGCAGGTGTTAAGTGAGTTGTTTTTCTTCCGTTTGAAGAGGAACTCAGGTTCTATAATTGGTTTCATTCAAACTATTAATTTTTTTATGTGTAATCAGGCAAGTTTAGATCAAATTAGAGAAAGGCATCTTGAGTCAAAGCCAACTTCAAAGTTTATATAGATAAGAAATCCTTATTGTCTTCTTGGACTAAATTATTTTAAAATACAGGCAATCTGGGATCCAGTGTCTATGGCCGGGCTTCAGGAGGCCATTGATGTTCCCAGTAATTTTATGTCAAAGTTGGTATGTGACTTTATTTCTCTAAGGATAATCCATTGGAAACCTGTGGGTTTTTCTCTCTGGTAAGAATTTATGAATATATTTTTTAGAAGATTTATTTATCCATTTTAGAGAGAAAGAGCAGAGGGGAGGGGCAGAAGGAGAGCGAGAAAGAATCCCAAGCAGACTCTGCGCTGAGCACAGGACCTAATGCGGGGCTTGATTTCATGACTTAGAGACCATGACTGAGCCAAAACCAAAAGCCTGGATGCTCAACCAACTGCGCCACCCAGGCACCCCAAAATTTATGAATATTTTAAGTGGATAATGAAAATTAGTATAGTAGTTTTAAAAAATCTGCCTTATAAATCATACTAACCTAGAATACAGGTAAAGTATACAACAATTTCTTTTAACATAATACACTTTTTAATGAGTTGCCCCATTGTCCTTTTCTTAGTACTGTTCTTATTTTCCTTTTTCTTTTGTAGGGCTGAGATGCTTCTAGATCAGTACCGAAAGAAGTCAAAGCTCTTCCGTACTACAGTTGTCCTGGCCCCACTAGGAGATGATTTTCGCTACTGTGAACGCATAGAATGGGATCATCAGTATAAGAATTATCAGCTGCTTTTTGATTATATGAATTCTCATCCTGAGTATAATGTTAAGGTAATTTGAAAATATTTAATTATGATACTGTATTTGAAGTTGAGCCTTCATTATTAAATGAGGCTAAAACACAACAGCCTTAGTTTCTTTGTCCCACATCCCAATATTTCCTAGAATATGTAGTTTGTATGTAAGAGTGTAGTTCTTAAAGAGGAAAATTATCTAGTACTATAGTTGCATTTCTGAAGTTGTCCCTTTCCCCCCATTCCTACAGCATTAAAGAGACTTTACTTTTATGTAGTTGTAAATATGCACCTACTAAGTTGTGATCTTCAGTTTTCAGTGATGTCCTGTTTTTCTACCAGCATCAAAAGTTTGTTTCTCTGACGGCTGCATCCTTGTGATTTTAGTAATGTGACGGGCAATGCAGATGAACGTGTCATGAATTTTGCAAATTAATGTCTTGTGTCCAGAGAATACACTAGCATCTTTCTTAGTTGAGAAGACTTCCAAAAATAATCATTTACCTGTAGTTCTTTCTCTTTTTTTTTTCCCCTTTTGGAAAATTTTGAATGTACCCTAAAGTTTTGAGAACAACTTAAGTACCCTTCCCCTGACCCCTGCCTCCCCATATCCATAGCTCAGCTACCACATTGATCAACTCGAGGTCACTCTCACTTCAGCTGTGCCTCACTGTCCTCTCTCACCCTCTCCCAGGGATTATTTTGGAGGAAATAGTAGTCATGTAGTTTCATCTGTAACCATTTCATTATGTATCTAAATGATAAGGACTCTGTTTAAAAATACAATCATAATGCCACTATTATATTTAAAAAATTAACAATAATTCAATATTATCATATATACAGATAGATTCAGATTTTCCTGATCACATACAGGCATTTTCTTTTAAGCATATGTTTCATGAGTCAGGATTCAAACAAGAGTCCTATATTAGACCCTATATGAGAAAATTACCCAATGTGTTTATTATATTCACATACTAACCTATGAGACAGTAGAATATTTGTGGAAATACTACAGAAAGGAAGAGATGTTACTGTTTAGGAAATTAGAAAGCTGATGATAGGTCACATTTTATGTAGGGAGAATTCAAGTTTATTAAGTAAATGTAAATAATATTAAATAGTTAAATAAACTTAAATAAAATGCCAGGTGTATTCAAGATACTTACAACTGAATTTCTACCAAATTATGAACTTTAGGTCTATGTTTAAATCATCTCTATAATCTCCTCAAAGATGAAGCTGATACACAAACATTTACTTAGGGGATGGCATATGCAGATGGGTATTTTATCCCTAAGTACATCTTCCTAGTGAATGGTTTTGAGATCCATAAAAGGATCTACCACTCATTCAAAAGAATTAAAGTACTGATTTTTGTATTTTACCTATTTCCTTCTTTGCCCAGTAGGGCAATTTGTAAAGTCACTTTAAAAAGCATCCAACTCTTGATTTTGGTTCAGGTCATGGTCTCAGGGTCACATACTTAAGATTTCCTTCTTGTATCATTTCAAAAGAAAAAACACTAACCATGATGATAGAAGGGAAAATAAGGTTACTTTTGTAAGATTTGGCAATGATTTGAATGAGCGGGGGGGGGGGGCAGGGGGAGGGGAGAGAGAGACTCTCAAGCAGACTCTGTACTGAGTGCGGAGCCCAATGTGAAGCTCATTCTCATGACCCTGAGATCATGACCTGAACCAAAATCAAGAGTTGGATTTCTTAACCAACTGAGCCATCCAGGCGCCCCACAGTATATTCAATTTTAATACTGTATATTATCTTTAATATCCATTTGATAAATACATCACGATTTGTCCATTGTATTATTGATGGACATTTGGGTTGTTTCCAAGTTTTGTGTATTACAAATAAAGCCATTTTGAATATTTTGTGCATGTTTTTATATACATGTATGTGAATTTATGTGGGTATAAAATGGGATAGAAATTTTTGGTCACTGGGTATGCACATGTTCAACTTCAGTAGATATTGCCAAATGGTATCCCAAAATAGATGCACTAGTCGTTGCATTGTATGACAATTTCAGTTGCTGTACTTCCTTACTCAGATTTTTTGTTAGGATTTTTTTTTCATTTTTATTTTTTTATGATCGATATGATGGTTTTATTTTATATTTCCCTGGTAGTTAATGAATTGAACCTCTTTTCATAAGTTTATTGCCATTTAGGTATCCTCTTTTGTGAAGTGACTATTTAAATCTTTTGATGACTTTTCCTTAAATTGGGTTGTCTGTTTATTTTGTACCATTTATAACTCTTTTATATATTTTGGTTTGAGTCTTCCTTCAGATAAAAGTTATGCAAATATTGTCTCCCACTATGTGAGCCTGTTTTTTAATTTCTTTCTTAATGCTGTCTTTTGATAAACAGAAATTCTTTGTTTTAATTAAATCTAATATAACAGTATTTTCCTTTCCATGTCATGTTCTGCTTAAGAAATTTTTGTTTATACCCCATAATTATGAAAATACGCTTCCTATGAAGCTGTCCTCCAGAAGCTTTATTGTTTTACTTTCAATATTTAGGTCTGTAATCTGTTTGGAATTGATTTTTTTGTGAATTGTATGAAGACAGGGATCAAGGTGCATTTTTGCCCATATGGGTATCTACCACCATTTATTGAAAAGACCAGTGTGCCCACTTTACTGCAGCATCATCTTTTTCATTAATTTTGAGTGAAACTATTTGTGTGGCTCTTGTATAGACTCTATTCAATTTTGTCTATTTAGTCTCGGACTGTCTTAATTACTATAGTTTTAGAATGGATCTTAATTTCTGATAGCATAAGTCTTCTAATTTTGTTTTCTTTCTCAAGATTGCATTGGTTTTCTTTATAGTTCTGTATAGGTTTAAGATCAATTTTTAAATTTCTACCAAAAAAAGTTGGAATTTTGATTGGCATTGCATTGAACCTATAGATCAATGTGAGTACCGTTAACTTCTTTACAAATATTAGGCCATCCATGAATGTGGTATATTCCATGTATAAAAATACAGTTGACTTTTGCATTCTAACCTTGTACCCAGTAACCTTCATGCATTTCCTTTCTTTCTGGAATTTTTGTCACTCAAGTGTTGGCTGCTTTGATTGTCCTTAGATACCTTCAAACAAAAGCTTTTTTTCTCTCTGTGGTTTATCTAGTATCTGTTCTCTGTAGGATGTTTGAAGTTATTTTGTCCAAGCCAGAAGCTTCAGTTTATTATTTTCTTTTAATGAAAGGAAAAACCCAAGTAAGCAATTGAATTTAGATGGCTAAAAAATTGACATTGTACCAACCAAGCCAGTCAGTTTCCCATTGGTCATCACTTATTTAACAATTTATGTATTTTTCTCATATGTTGCTCTGATAGAGGAGTTTGATTATGTTTAAGATTAAGGTTATGTTAAAGATATAATTTGTTGCCTTTTGAAGTAAAAAACATCTACTTTTTTTTTTTGGTTATTTGGAATACGTACTTTGAGCTACCAAGAGACTATAGAAAAATTCACTCTTAAATAATTTCTTTTGAAACTACTCTAGGATAGATACAGGATTATATATCAGTCCTTTGAGATTGAATTAAATTTGTGAGAATGCTCACCAGGCTACTTAAATGAACTTTGCCTGGGGCAATTGCCAAGAAGGAAATACTTTCATCTTGGCTAATACCAAAAATTAGTTACAATATTCTAAAAGGGTATACTTTGTTGTGAATATTAACTCTGTAGCATGCCACAGTTCCCTAAAATCTGAAACTGAAGGGAATTTTTGTTATCTCATAGAAATCCCTTTTTATATAGATGAGAAAGTGAGTCAGAAATTTAGATTGTTGAATATTTTTTACTTTTATCAGTATACTTCCCTGAGCTTGTCTGTACTATTGGGCCTGAAGTTAATGCTGTATTTCTTTGCATTTGTGACCCTCATGGTTATACACACACACACTTATATTCTGCTTCTTAGAATGTGTTAAGTGAGTAATAAATAACACTTAATTTTTGAGTACTTACTATTTGCTATTAACGTTTTCTTTTAGAGAGAGAGCATGCACTTTGGGGGTGCGGGGGCGTGGGGATGGGGAAAGGGAGAGAGAGAATCTTAAGCAGGCTCCATGCCCAGCACAGAGCCCAATGTGGGGCTCGATCTTATGACCCCGAGATGATGACCTGAGCTGGAACCAAGAGTCAGGTGCTTAACCAACTGGGCCATCCAGGCACCCCTGCTATTAACTTTTTAAAGTGCTTCACTTTAGTTAACTTATTTAATTCTCTGAACATTTTCTGGTAGGTACTATAATTATCCCCATTAGAGATGAGGAAACTGAGGCACAAATATATTAACTTGCCCAAGATACATTGTATTTGGTGAAGCCAAGATAAGACTAGGTAATATTATTGAAAATTGCTTTTCTGTGATGTAAACATAAGGATTTAGAAATAATTATCTATTTTGCTGTTATAAAATTTATTGTGTCACAGGTACATGATAACTTCTATTTGTCTTACTAATATCATCATGTTTCCAGCTGAAATTTTGCCTTTGCAATAGAAAAATGATAGCTAAAACTTAGACCATTATTTCCCAGTTGTGTTTCTAAGCATTTTACTTAGATCCCTCTTAGCTGTAACACAGACACAGAGACAATATATAAATATGCTCAAAACCACATTGTTAGGTAAATGGTAGAGATGGAATTCAAACCAATGCTATCTGGATCCAGGTTCTGTGCTGTTCTTAACCACTCTTCTAGAGTGCTACTCACTGTTTTTAACTACTCTTTTTTTTTTCTTAAGATTTTATTTATTTGACAGAGACACAGCTAGAGAGAGAACACAAGAAGGGGGAGTGGGAGAGGGAGAAGCAGGCTTCCTGCAGAGCAGGGAGCCCGATGTGGGGCTTGATCCCAGGACCCTGGGACCATGACCTGAGCCAAAGGCAGATGCTTAATGACTGAGCCACCCAGGCACCCCTGTTTTTAACTGCTCTTAATTATTTTTCTGCCACATTGAATCAAAGTAGCTTTTAGTATCTGTGTGTGTGTGTGTGTGTGTGTGGTAGGAAACAACAAAAATAGCATCTTAATATTCAAAGAAATACATTCCCTGTTAAATTCTCTGTTTATCTCTAAAAACACTGCCTTTTAATATCTGTTTACATGGTGTGGTATAATACTTCTTTTTTCCTTTGATTTATGGAATAGCTTGGGCTCATAAAAATGGATTTATGTTCTGGTAATTTAAATCATTAGTCAAAAGACCTTTTCATTTGAGCAGTCAACCTTGCAGTTCTTGTCACTCTTTGTGTTTTACTTCTATTCAATGTTACCTGCTGGTAGAGAAAGTCCATTTTTTTAATGACCTGCTGTTCTTAAAGTCTCCCTTATGAGAGCTCAAGCAAGGGGGATGGGGAGGCCAGGGGAGTGTATGTGCATATGACATATGAAAATACTTAATGGTTAACCAAACTGTATGTAAATGTTTTATTTTTGCTGCTTCCTCCCATCTTTTATTCATCTCTGAATTATTCTATTCCCTGACCCTTGCACACTTTGAAATTCTGGAGATTGGTAAGGTGTTTTCAGATCCACAGATTTGTATATCTCAGTAGTTCTTCTAACCCCTTAGGGGTGTAAGTTTTATTTTAGTTTAATTTGGGACCTGATGCAAGTGAAAGAGCTACTGTATATTTTTCCCCCTGCTTTTGAGTTTTGTAAAATCTGAGCTAGAATTTCATCTTAACTGGAAAGCGCATCTTAAATATTTACTGTTAACTTTTCCTTTTAGTGCTAGAAGTAATTTTAAGGTAGAGATGAATAAGTGTCACTTTTTTTTTATTAGATACAGTTTGGGACTTTATCAGATTATTTTGATGCACAGGATAAAGAAGATGTAACCATTAGAAAGAATAGCCAATCCATGTTCCCTGTTCTAAGTGGAGATTTTTTCACTTATGCTGACCGAGACGATCATTAGTGGAGCGGCTACTTTACATCCAGACCCTTCTACAAACGAATGGATAGGATATTGGAATCCCATCTAAGGTACAAAATTTACGTTTAGAAAGCTACATTAATTATTCACCTTTTTTATGTGATCATAGCACATAGCATAGCATAGAGTTTTGCATAATATACAACATGTATGCAGTATTGGGATGTGTTTAATGTAATTGTGAAATTTTAATGCAATCAGAGCTATGTCTCCAGTGCATAATCAGATTATTATATGGGCTTTTGTTCTGAAAAAAGCAGTTTATCTGATTAGACTTTCTCCTGTATCTTATGTTTTATATGTTTCTAATTAATTACTGGTATTGTTTGCACACCGTGATAATATCCAGTGGCATTGTTATGTGTGTCTGCAGGTCAGTAGCCAGACAGACTAAATTGCTGGAAACAAGCAAGGGTCACAAGGAACAAACAGGGCCTCTCTGTGGCTAAAATGTGGGCCTCAAAGTACACAATCTAAAACTAATGTATTTTATATGTGGGAGAACTTCAGAGGCTCCACCTCAGTTCTTATTTATTGAAACATATTTCTATAGGTGTGATTCTCTGCTTAGAAGAGCAAAACTTGAAAGAGATGAGAACTGATGGCGGCAGAGTGATTGGCTGAAAAAGCATAGTGACAGGGAGAAAGCAGAAAAGTCAGGAGAAAACAAAAACGCTCTAACCAGCGTTGTCCAGTAGAACTTTCAGTCACTGTCCAACAGAACTTTCTGCAGTGGTAGAAATCTTCTGTTTCTGTTTTCTGCACTGTTTAGTATGGCCACTTGCCACATGTAACTGTTGAGCACTTGAAATGTGACCAGTGTGGCTGAGGAAGTGAACTCTTAATTTCCTTTAATTTGAGTTGATTTAAATGTAAATAAATAATCACACGCGGCTAGTAGCTATCTTTGTGGGTCCTGTTGCTTTTTGGTAAGGATGAACCACCCTGGGGGCTCCTGGGGCTCTCTCTATGTGTGTGTAGCGTGGGAGATTAATTCATTTTCAGGATGAGTTCACTTCCAGCTTAGTTCAGATCATGAATTCATGATGATTAATTTTCATGATGAATCTCAGTATTAAAAATAAAAAGTCATGTTATATCTACCTTCTTCTCCGTACTGGTAGAAATAGTACATTTTGGAAAGCCCTTTTATAAAGATCATGAATTTCTCCCAGAGTTGCACTTTGGTATAGTAGTGTTTTTTTTTTTTTTTATTTTTACTGTTTCATGCTGTCAGCATTATTTCAAAAGCCTGATCTTTGCCTTTTTGGGGGGATATTCACAAATGTGCCAGATGGATACATATTCCTGTATTTGTAATAAAATAGTATTTCTATATTAGAGAGATTGATGCATTCTTGCCCAATAGAATATTAATTCTCTATTATGTTACTCTAAACTACCTATGATAAAAACAGAGAAAGTACTAAGTAATGTAGAGATTCTTTTGGACTACTGCACTTTTTTAAAAGTGTCAACTATTTTTTAGTGACAAAGAGTTACAAATATTGATTCAATTTTAATTTATTGAACATATTTAAGGTAAAGTACTTAGTGTGAGTAATAATATATTTTGAAAATTCTGCTTTAAAATAAAATGACAAAAAACCATATAATAATGACAAATTTCAAAATGTAATCAACTTACTTGAAAATAAGTTTATTGTCTGATTATAGATATTTCATCTTGATGCTCATTTGTAAAACATTTGGATAGGATAGAAGAGTATAAAGAAGAAAATATTTTTTAAACCCCCTTTTTACATTTTGGGATATCTATATGTATAGGTACTCTTTGCAAAGCCAAGAATATGTGCTATGGGTATAGATGAACATATATACACAATTTCTTTAATTCAAACTTAGTGTTTCTCCTGCCATGAATTTTAGAAAGATTAGAATTTAAAGGCAGAGATTATTTAGTATCTTCTAATTATTTCAAAATTTAAAACAATTCTTTTTTTTTTTTTTTGAGTACTTTAAATTTGTCCTTTTCCTTATATTGTGATACATTTTCAAGCTGCCTTGGTTTTCTCTCCATCCTTCTTAATATGTTTGGCATAAAGAATCTTCTTAAACTTTTTACTTCATCAAGCCATCTCTCTTTTTTTTTTTAAGATTTTATTTATTTATTTTTAAAGATTTTATTTATTTATTTGACAGAGAGAGAGGGAACACAGCAGGGGGAGTGGGAGAGGGAGAAGCAGACTCCCCGCGGAGCAGGGAGCCCCATGTGGGGCTCGATCCCAGGATCCTGGGACCATGACCTCAGCTGAGGGCAGACGCTTAACGACTGAGCCACCCAGGCACCCCAAGCCATATCTCTTTTTTAAAGAACTTTTTCGAAACCTGTCTTGAACCATATCCTCTGATGAAAAAAATAAAGCATGAAAATGATAAGTCCCCATATTCTTGCTCAAAAACTACTCGTAAGCCCAAGTGTTTTTTCTTTAAAATAAACGAGAAGCGACAGCATATGTTTTATCACCTTTCAGTTTATATTGTTACTTTCCCTCTAGTTGTCGAATGTTCTCATTCAGCACAGAGACTAGCTGTTGTCACTGAGCTGTCAGGCCATCGCTTTCTGCCTCTCCTTCACTGTTAGTCTCCCACTCATGTGACCATTTCTGCACCGTCTCTCCTTTAATGCATGTATGTGAGAGTGAATGGCTTTCTGGTGATGAAGTTCCTGGTATGTGTCTGGGCTGATCTTGGAGAGGAGAAAGGGCAGCAACCATTATCCACTTTTTACTGCTGTTTCGAGCTTTTTTTTTTTTTTTTCCACTATGTTATACATAAGTACACCTATCTCGCTGCCAGTGGGTACTGGCTTCTTTCCAGGACCATCTAGAACAAGCGTCCTTTATATCAATTTAGACATGATGTTCTCTGATGATTGATAATCTAGATATATTAGATGGCTACCTAGATGGTTTTATAGGAATGTTTATTATCAATATCTTTTTTATCAATTGTGCTGAAATGTGGATTTTTTTAAAAATGCATTTAAAAATTGTATCAGTACCACATATTTTAAATAGTAAATGTTTGTTTTGAAATAAGAATTAATGACTGTTTTATACAATTAGGGCTGCTGAAATTCTTTACTATTTCGCCCTGAAACAAGCTCAGAAATACAAGATAAGTAAATTTCTTTCATCATCCCATTGCATGGCACTGACAGAAGCCAGAAGAAATTTGGGACTGTTTCAACATCATGATGCTATCACAGGAACTGCAAAAGATTGGGTGGTTGTGGATTATGGTACCAGGTAATATAATTATTAAAAAGTGATTATAAAACAATTTTTTTTAAATTTTGGGTCACAGGCTTATATCTTTGATGAAATTGTTAATGTACATCAGACCATATCAATAATGACATCCCTTATAAGTATTGCTATAGAAAAACAACATCAATATTCAAAGCATTTTTCAAGAATTGTATTGAGAATGTACTAGCTGTCCTAACTTTTTATTGCAGTGCATTTCTGCAAATGGAGTAGTAAAACATTATTATAAAGCTGATTCTGTTTTCTCCCAAGTATAATGTGGTAATTGGGGTTACCTTGTTGACCAGGGATTTGGTATCAAATAAATCATAGCTATAATCCAAGGAGATAAAGAGCCATACTTGATTGTATAGCAGTTTAATTTCATCCTATTTCATATCCAGTTGTTCTCAGCCTAGAGTTTAGCCAGGAAGTAGAAGAACCTAGAAACTTTGACATATATAGATGATATAAGGAATTGGGATGAGAAGGGTTGGCTTGGGTATTGATATCAAAACCATCTTCAACTCTTAGAAGGTCTGTGAGATGAGTGAGGGAGGGGAAGCTCAGTTATTTTCACATTGCAGGATTGGAAACAGTGAGTACAGGCTTTAGCTCAGAACAGCAGGAGACTTTGTAAATAGTGCTTCCCAATAATCAAAAGGCTTACCTTTTGTGATAGTGAGATTTCCATCATCATGCCCTAGTTTGGGTAACCATTCATTAGGATCATTGTAGAGGAGATTCCTATGTTGGGGAAGGAGTTTTGACTATTATTTCATTATGGCTTAGTTATTATTTCTTCCAGATTTTTTTCCTATCAAAAATGGTGTACTTCAATAATATTTTAAAATTGTTAAAGTGTGCTCTGATTTTCTTATAATACAGATTTAAGAAGTGAACCTCTTTTTTTAATAAATGCTCTCTCCCGTATGTTAAAAGTGTATACAACATATAAAGTCATCATTACAGATTGATCCACAACTGATATCACTAATCATTATAAGTGTTAATTAAAATTTTAGTTATAGTATTTTGACTGCCTTTCTAGATATTTGAAAAACAAATTCTTGAGGTTTCATTAGTTGACTTGAATCCTTGAAAATATATTCATGGTAGCATCTTGAATATCTTCTCAGTTTTCTTGTGGCAAATGTATTTGGCATCTGTTGAGGTTGAGCTGGGCTTAAAATGGAAAACATTCATTGGCTGATAATGATAATTGGTTTTTCTCCCACAGAAGGCATTTTTTAAAATAAGGTCAGATCCTCCATTTTTTTCCTTTTCACCTGCTCCTGTCTTCTTGGTTTATTGAATTTAAAAGTGAGGCTTATATTCAGAAAAGAGTTCCTAAGAGGAAATGAAGAAGTCATTCTCCTATACTGTCTACCTGCTCTCTCTCTGGCTGCCATATTGAAAGAGACTTGGGTACAGGTCATTGAGTTTTTGCAACTGAACATTTTCTATCTCATAACCTTTCCAGAAGGGCTGTCATTAGTTCCTCCATATGTTTGGTTATGCTTTTAGCTTATAAAAACATCACCATACAAAATTGCATCTTAGAGAAAAAAGACAATAATTCTCAAATTATACTTGACATTTGTAAATTTGCTTTGCGAGCACTTCACACTTCATTGAGAAGTCATACACAATTATCAAGTCATTAGCATAGACATTTTAAGTAGGAAATTTCAAAACACAAGTTAGAGAGTTATAAACAAAGAGGCAGCTAGCATTGGGTGCTCTCTTGTTCTTAGACTGTTGACTGTTTATTCAAATGTTGGCAGAAGTGTCCCTGTGAACAAGTGTATGAGTTAAGGATTGCATTTGGCTGCTAGTAATAACAACTTAAAACTGAATAAACCCTATCCTACTTATTTTTATGCCACGTGGAAGAAGTCTGCAGGTCCCCAGTTCAGGTATAGCAGCTCTACAGTGCCGACAGGGGTCCAGACCCTTCTAGCTTTCTCTTCTGCCATCTAAAGGTGATTCTTACTTAGAGTACTGCTCTCAACAGTAGATTGAATGTTTATATAATTATCACCTGGAGAGCAAGAAAACATCATGGCTATTTGAAGGTTAATTCTAATCATGGCATGAAAAAATGAATTAGAGGGGGACAGTGTTTGTGATGGATGTTCAGCCTAAAAGTGGATAATGGGGCTATGTGCAAGAGAAGAAATGGTAATGAGATCAGTTACAGAAATATTTAGAATTCTGCCTATTTCTATGTTGTAGTTAAGGTAGGTAGGAGAAAAAAATGAACAAAGGGTAAGTATGAGGGCCCATATGTATAGATCAAACTTCACTGACAAACATGATAGTATCTGCCTGAAACAGTAGTAATGATACCAGAGTAGAAAACTGTGATTTCTAAGTGATGGTCCGGTTCAGTGATAATAAAATACGGGCATGTTAGAAAATTAGAGGCTCTGGGAAATCCCACAATGATGAATTGTTGAAACATTAAAATTTTGCTTTACCCAATGTTTCCCAAACTTATTTACTGTGTTTAGTCTTGTTTTGCTTTAAACAGAATGGCTTTATGCATCCTGAGAAAGCATTTGGGGAATACACTACCAGTTCTTAGTGCTTACCTCGTTAGAAGACTGTGCATGTGCCTTTAGGATACAAACATTGATGTGTGGCATTCCCTCAGTTTAAGCTCCAGTGCACTGTAATACATATAAGGTTTTAGCTGATGGAGAACATGACTTTTTTTTTTTTAAAGATTTTATTTATTTATTTCACAGAGAAAGAGACAGTGAGAGAGGGAACACAAGCAGGGGGAGTGGGAGAGGGAGAAGCAGGCTTCCCGCTGAGCAGGGAGCCTGATGCGGGGCTCGATCCCAGGACCCTGGGATCATGACCTGAGCCGAAGGCAGACGCTTAACGACTGAGCCACCCAGGCGCCCCTTCTTTTTTTTTTTTTTTTAAGATTTATTTCACAGAGAGAGAGACAGTGAGAGAGGGAACACAAGCAGGGGGAGTACAACATGACTTTTATTCTTCAGGTTCTGACAGCCTAATAAAGATTGCCATATAGATAAAAATAAACTTAAATCGAGGGGCTTGTTCCTATAACTGAATTGTAGTCACTCATATTGTCTTTTAGTCTGGTGAAAACACTTGTTATCACCTAGGAAAACATTTGAATAGACTAAGAAACTTAGCTGGATGATGGCCTGAACTCACATGCAGAAGACTTTAACACTATGTATGTATAACACATTTGCATAGTTAATTAACTTACTGATTGTGATCACTTACATCTTTGAAAGTAATCTCAGTGCTCTGCAAAAAGAAGTTATTTTTAATTCTCTTAAACATTTTTTTGTCGTTGCATGCCAACAAAAATGTTCTTAACATGTAGGTCCAAAATTGCGTCCTGTATTGGGGAAAATAATATAATCACTCTATAAACATAATAGATTCAATGGCTGATTGAAAGCATGTTTAGCCAAGTTTTTCGACAGATTTCTTCAGTGGCTTTACTTAGGGTTACCTGTTCTATAAAGCTTTAAAGAAACAAGATGGAACTTGAAAAAAAAAAAAAACCTTCAAATTCTTTTCCCACGTGTAGTGCTTCAGCAATAGTTGATACTGTACCAAGATTATATTCCAGAATTGATCTTGAGTAGGTTGATTCATACGCATCTCTTTGGTTCCTCAGACATAAAAGTACAATTGGAATACAATTAACAATTTTAATGACCAAGAAAAGTAACAAGGAGAAAGACAATTTCATTATCCAGACCTGTGAAAACTTTCTCTTTTTTTGAACAAGAACATGAAACTAAAGTCAGCAAAATATTTATTTGAAGTTTTCAGGAATTTGAGTTTTTTGAAGTATGTATACTGAACGAATATTCTTGTGAGTGACAGTTAATCTCATGCTTTCTTTTGCTGTTTCAACATTTGTTAAAGAATTTTCTAAAGTAAAGGACCAAATCACTTTTTTGGTAACAAAGCCTTAAAGCTATTGGAGTGATCATGTTGAATATTCTTAGTATTTGGCATGATACTTGTAGAAAGTATCGGTAGTTTGATTAAGTTTACACGTTTCAGGTGTATACAGAAAGTTTTCTATTTTAAATGAATCCTTATTAGTGAAATCTTTTGACTAACTTTTTTTTCCTAAGTACTTAGTTCTGGGCAAAGAAGAGTCCGTTCATTATAGCTTCATTATAGGTTTCACTTTGTGAATACAGGGTGATGGTGGTTTGGCCATTATTAAAGAAACTGAAAATATCGTATACTGATGTTTGAATTGCTTCTCAGACCAGTAAAAATTTTTGGTTCACAGACTCTTTCATTCATTAATGAATTTGAAGAAGATAATTGGATATTCTGCACTACTTCTTATTTTGAAGGACAAAAACTCGTACAACTCTTACTCTTTTGATAACCTCCTAGACGTGGTTAGTTGCTACCTTTTATATTATCATAAAAATGTGTGATTCTTTTGTTCTTGATTCAGAAAAGGGGGTGAGAAGCTGAGTGAAAAGAAACCTTGAAAAATAGTGATTTCCTTATACATGATTTGAAAGAATTTGTATCATTTTATATGAAATACCTATGTGTTCTTCTTTCCTGTAAGTGTGTCTGTATTTGATTTATGGTGTATATTTTGTTCTGACGAAATCTAAGCATGAAAACTAATGAACTTCATTATGTGGAACATACAGCTTTGAGAACACTATTAATATGGTACTGTAAGGTAACTAGACGCTGTAATTAGTTATTTTGCTTGGCTTTAATTAGAAGCCCCTGAATTGTCTTCTGGTTTCAGGATGAGCCCATGGAGCGCTGTGAGCAGTGCTCAGATGTGTGTAACAGCAGAGGAGCAGTTGAGGAATTAAAGACTAGCTATTAGCCCCACCTCTGTACCTGATTGCATGGGCCTGAAAAAGTTGCTTAACATCTGTGAGCCCTCATTCATTTTTCTGTTAGATGGGATGATTCCTGCCTTGGCTTGTATCGTGGTTAGGATCAGGGGAGCCAATAAAACAGAACATACTCTGAGAGGAAGAATATACTCTTCAGCAGCAAGGAAGAACAGTGGGAAAAAATGGGGGATTGCAAACCTCTTTAGACTTCGATTTGGCAACTCAGATGTTTTAAAACTGTAATATTTTATCATTAGAGTCTATTGTGAGCCATAGGCTTTGAAATTTTACATGTAATTGGAACTTACACATCTGGAATCAGAGATAGTAAGTTCAGTATTTTCATATACTGATGTTTGCAATCAAATTATGGTTACATATTTTCATGTTGAAGTAAAAAATCCAATAAATGGACATACATTGCTTAAGGATATGAAACCTGTGATACAAAGGTAAAATAGTGAAACTTTTTGCAAAATGATCTTTAGAACTTTGATTTACTTGGTTCCTAATTGGACTCTAGTAGTCCGTGTAACACATGCCGTACTGAAGTCTAAAGACACACCCATAAAAATGCACACACACAAGAATTACTTATTTTGAACTTTGATGGACCTTTATGTAGCTAGAAGGAGGACACCATTGTGTCCTTTTTAGGATTTTTGTAAGTACTATTACATAGCTAGTTTTGAAACTTAAGTTTTAAAAGTAAAATAAAAAAATTTTGTTTATTTTTACAGGATTTGAAACAAAACTCACAAGGTTCTCTACCACAAAAAACTGTAATAACACTGAGTGCAGAGCCAAGGTAAATACATAATTTCTCATACACTTTGCTACTGTTCTGACTTGACTTTTTTGCTTTTCATGTTTCTTTTCCCTAGCCAGGATATACTTTGAGGCAGTATTTTGTTTAATAAATTTATTAATTTAAAAAATTTTTTTGAAGAAATGGATTTTTCTCCCATGACTGTCATGTTCAATGTTAATAGTTAACACAGTGTTTGATACATTAATTGCTGAATGAACAATTACAACTATTTTTTTACAGATATTTGGTATGGGATCATAAATATGATTTATGATTATGTTTTTTCTTAACCCTTTGTTAACTTATCTTTTCATTGATCCCTGATCCCATTTTTAAAATGAAGGAAGAAACTTAATTATGAAAAGTTCCTACCATAAATTGCTTACTAGATAACTGTCATTGTGCTGGCCAGACTGTCTCATTTTGGCATTGTGGATTTATGTTAAGGCAAATGGGAAGGGTGTTCAGTTGACCTGAAAATGGGGCGATTAATTGGTGGCTGCCTCTGATTTATAAAGAAATGTTTTGTGTTTTTATTGGTAATCATTTAACCAAGTCTTCTGTTTTAAATGACCAAATATCACTAGGTCAGTACCCACTATCCCCAGATACACACTATATTCTTATATAATATAACTTTTTGCTATCTAAATTGAGAAATTTAGTATGTACAAATTGTAGGATAAAAAAATAATTGTAAAGGATAATTCATGATTTTAGGTATTCTTTATTAGAATTATTTTAAAATAAATGGAATCAAAGTATTACAGAAAATTTACAATTGCTAATAAAATTGACATTTTGGTTACTCAGAAAATAAAGCCTTAGTTTGCTAAATCTCTTCAGGAAGTAGAGACTTAAAAATGTATACAGCTCATACCTTAGAACAAGAAGACAGGTATTTTTTAGTAACACTAAAGTATCACTAAAGTAATGGTAAAGAAATCCTACATTTCTTTCTTTGGGCCAGAAAAAGAAGGGATTAACTGGAAAAGACAGTTTAAGTCTCAACTTTGAAGTCCTGTTGCAGGCTTAACAGCTTTCAGGTTGCCAAGTCATAAGAGAGTAATGATACTCCCATTACAAAATGTTTTCTTTGTCTTAAAATATGTAATATTTTGATGTAGTTGAGGTTGTGTGGCTGTTCCTTAAATATTTTGCCCCTAATAAACTCTGGTATTAGGCATAATCCCCCTTTTTCTATTTTGGTAGGGGAAGATCTTTGTTTCTGCTGACTGTAAGAATGCCTTATGCTTGCTATAAATAATTTATGCCCCTTCCGCACCCCATTAGTCTTCCTCTGGGTGAATGGGAGGGTGGGTGGGATGGAGCCCTAATGGGTTACAAACCCTATGGCTTTTCTTCTTCCTCTATTGTCCTTGCTTTAGCCAGGAGTAAGTGGTATTTTAGCTCTACTTATGCTGGAGGAAGAAAGGAGATCCCGGTGTATTAACTAAGAAGAAATATATTTTGAGCTTTAATATTGAGGAGTTTTAATTATACATCAACGTAAATAGCATTTTGGGGACTATTAGTAAAATGATCGCTTTCTGATATTTCCTTTTAAACAGTTTGTATTTAAATAGTGTTCTTCATCTTAATATTACTCCTTCACAGTTCTTTTCTACCAAATGTCAGTGCTACTACTGTTTCTGTAGTTAGGTGAATTGGGAGTACTTAGGATTGTCAAGTTCTTATTTGTATCTTTATTATCTGTTTTGTACTTGAGGACCTCATGAATAGAACTACTTATACTTCTGGTTTTAAAATCTATACTTTACTTGTTAGCCACAAATAATCTGAGCTGATCTCTCAACAAAATCAGAGAAGAATGGAGGAATGACAGTGGCCTTTAAAATGGAAGAATTTCATAGTTTTATTTAGCAGATACTGAAAGTGATATCATTGCACTTCTCAGTCTTGAAGTTGAAAGTTTCAGGAGTATGGTCATGAGTCTTTCTCATGTTCTTCATGAATCCCTATATAATGATCTAAGGCTTAGCATTATTTTGGCGATAAGAATAATTCTTGTTTGAGCAACAATTTATTAATCTAAATAAAACATGCATTCTCAGTGAGAGAGACATCCTCCTTAGGAGGGTAAAAATTGGTTCTTGGGGAGTTTGAAAAAAAGTATTTTTTTAAATATATAAAGCATAAAAATAGTACTCAATAGTACAATAACAGATATACTTTTAAGTGTATTAAAATTGTATGGGGGGATGATTAACAAAAAATGTCTAAAGAGTCTTTAAGGAGTTATGTGAAAAGTCTGAGAAATACTGATCTAACTCACACAATTTCATAGCTATTTTTTTTTAAGTTTTTATTTATTTGACAGAGAGAGACACAGCAAGACAGGGAACACAAGCAGAGAGAGTGGGAGAGGGAGAAGCAGGCCTCCTGCTGAGCAGGGAGCCCGATGTGGGGCTCGATCCCAGGACTCTGGGATCACGACCCAAGCCAAAGGCGGACACTTAATGACTGAGCCAGCCAGGCGCCCCTAACTCACACAATTTCAATAATACATGTAAATGAATTTGATCATGCTGTTTGGCAACATTAGTTATAGCTATAACCTAACATAAGTTAGTTTGGGAGTCTTTAAAAAGGAGTGGCTAATCTGCTCATGGGGATGTGGTACATATCTGTGAGCCTGATTGAGTTCACAAGGTTGGGTAAGCTCTATAGTATATGCATTCATAGTCTTTATGTGGAAAGAAGGTATAATTGAGAGTTAAAAGTTAGGGCACCCTGAACAAGTCATAATTTTTCTAGCCTTAAATAATCCTTTAATGTACCGAGGTGTTTCTTTTCCTCCAAGGCCCAATTGTAAAAAAAAAAAAAAACTGTAGTACAAAGATTTACAGGATTAGGGACGTGGAGGACATAGAGGATGGAAGGTAAACTCCTAGGACAGGCAGGGATTTCAGTCTTCTTTCAGTGTTTAGTACTTGAGGCAGGATGGAAGCAAATATCACCACAGCACAGGACGCCAAATCATGTGTTTTGACAACGTGTGAAGGAACTTTTTTTTTTAAATGTGGATAATTTGAAATGCCACGGAGTATACAACTGAAATCTGAAACTTCTGTAAATCTGAAAATTTAATTTTTCAAGTAGAAAACTTTTAGTTTGAGAGCAATTTATTCAAACCCATTACAAATTTACCATTAAGTGCTTTTAATGTTTAACAAGGCGTTTATTGGTAAGGGATTTTGGGCCAGAAAAAATAAGGGATTAACTTCAAATGAAACCACCAACCATGTGGAGACACAAAAGAAGTCCTTGTTTTTGGGGCTTGGGTGACTTTAGAGTATCAAACATATATTAAAAGTACTCAGTTCCAGAAAAGGCACTCAGTACCTCCATTGTCATGTGCTTGTTGTAATGGTTCTTCCTGGATGGCTGCCCAGCACCTCTAATTTAATTTCCTCTTGTTTTCTCCATGTGTGTTTTCTTTTGGATCCTAATCTTTATTAATAGCATCATTCTCTTTTTGGTTGTCTAGGTGCTGAAAAATAGTCTTTATATGGAAAGCAGGTACAATTAAGAGTTAAGAGTTAGGACACCCTGAACAAGTCATAAATTTTCTAGCCTCTAGAACCCACTTTGACTTCTACCTTTTCTTGTTCTTTTAAGTTTCATCAGCTGGAAAGTGTTTTGGATTTTCCCCTCTGCTCACCTCTGACATTCTTCGTCTCCTGTCTTCCTATTACTTTCTTGTTTTAAGGCCTCTATTATGATTTTTTTTTTAATGTTTTACTTGAACTACTGCAATGACTTCCTGCTCTTCTGTCTTCAGTTTCTCTCTGCCCCTGATTTATTGCATGTAGTTGTCACAGGGATCTACCCATAGCGGAACGCAAGAAAGACACCTGGGTGGAAGCAGCAAGGCTTCTAGGACCTAGCCTCAGAACTCCTAGAAGGTCCTTTCCGCTACATTCTTAGTGAAGCAAGTCACTAGCGTCAGCCAAGATTCAGGGGGAGGGAATTATTCTCCATTACTTAAAGGGAATGATGGCAGTCATCTTTGGAGACGGTCTACCACAGTTTATCCACTGGCCACTACAATTCACATACAATTCACCATGTGCACAATATTCCACCTCCTCCCATGATGCCAAAGTGCCATCCCATTATGGTACTGGCCTCAAATTTTCATCTAAATCAGATCCAAAATGACTCAATCATGTAACTGGGAATTGATGTTTTCTTATTTCTCTCAGTATAATAATTATTTGAAGTTAATTCTGCTAGACTGTAAACTCCTTGACAGTAGGAACTATTTCTTTTATTTATTTCTCCCACCATGCCTGTGGAATTGCAGTCAACATAGTAAGAATTGAATAAAGACTTGTTGAAATACAATTAATTACTGATTGAAGAGACTATTAAACTTCAGACACCAGATATGCGTAGACATTCTATGTGAAGATGTGGTATCCTGGTATATCTTCTCTCCAAATAGTTCTTTCATCTAGTATTTGGAGTTTGGATGCCAGAGGGCTTCTGAATACACTAAATAATACTACAAGCAAAAATAAATAACAACTCAAAGCTTTGAATTTGCTCAACATTTGGACAACTGTTCATTGGAGATTATAGAGTTTCATACCATGGGACCTGAAAAATTTTAGGTTGCCTCTCAGCATCATTGCATTCTTACAGAATTACCTTTGTTGAGATTGCTTTCTTGAAGGCTCTTTAGAATGGGTGGGTTCAAAAGATACTCCCAAATATCTAAATGAGTTGACTTGATCAGATGACTTTTTTTCTTTTTTAGATTTTATTTAAATTGAAGTTAGTTAACATACAGTTTATTATTAGTTTCAGAGGTAGTATTTAGTGATTGATCAGTTGCCTATAACACCCAATGCTCATTACATCAAGTGCCCTCTTTAATGCCCATCACACAGTTACCCCATCCCCCCCACGTCCCCTCCAGCAACCCTCAGTTTGTTCCCGGTAGTTAAGCATCTCTTGTGACTTGCCTC